ACCAACAATAACAATGGCACAGTTACTAGTATCCTTGCAGAACCAGGGTGGGAAAGACATGGGGGGAGGGGGGCGTGGTGGAGCTAAATAAAGCCATTTTTGTTCAAAACCACTCATGATTATAAGATGAGACTGCTGGAAACTAAGCTTGGTAGTCCTAACATGGTCCCTAACAATGCGAGTGTTGTTTGGCCAACACAGTTAGCCAGTTAAACACATTTTTGCGGGAATTTTTGTCAATATTTCAAAGCCAAGAGATTTTGCATAAAAAGTCAGATTTTTTAACTTCTCTTGAAAAAAAAAAAAATCAAAAGACCAGGCACACTGAGCTCTTGCTCTTGTACAGCAACAAGCGGTGACAGCCTCCCCTTAGACACAGCGCATGAATTTCAGGCTAGGCCAGCCTCTGCTATGCCCTACGGCCCCCAGGCCGGGGGCAGCAGCCATGTAACCTTGTGGTCATGGCCTTTTTACTCACAGATAGACTAACACAATCACATGGTTCAAAAGTCAAAATAATATACACACAGCTATATAGTGAGAGGCTCGTTCCCAACTTATCCCCACCCTCCTTTATTAATAAAGCACTTTTGTTAACATCGTCACTTATTTTTCCACTTCTTCCTTACACGAGGTAATACAATATATATTTTTTTCTGTCTTGCTTTCTTTACTTAAAATATATCCTAAGGATTACTCCAATAATAGCACATAAAGAACTTCCTCATCCTCATTTTACAGCTACCTATTCCAGTGTGTGCATAGGTTGATGTATTAAACTACTTCTGTATTAATGAGCACAGGTTGTGAGTAGTCTTTTGCTCTTACAAATATTCTACAACAGATATATGCATATGTCATTTCATAGGTGATAAAGTATATCGTGCAGGATAAATTCCCACAAGTGAGATGGCTGGGTTACAGGGTAAATGTATTTGTAATATTTTTAGGTACTGCCAAATAGCCCTCCATGTGGGCTGTGCCATTTTGCAGTCCAAAACAGCAATGCAAAAGCATGTTTATTTTCCTTCAGCTTCCCCAGGAGACTATATGGTCACATTTTTTAGTTTTGTCATTCTAACAGGTAAAAACTATATTTCAGGGCAGGTGTAATTTGCATTTTTAACCAAGACATCTTTTCTCACATGTTTACCTAGAGACATTTGTATTTCTTTTTCTGAGAACTATGTTCCATTTTCCTATTGGATTCCTATTTCTGTTGATTTTCCTATTAAATTCTTGGGTTTTTTTTCTTATAAAATTATAGGAGTAATATATAGATTAGCCCTGTATCTATGATATGAACTGCAAATGTTTTTTTTTCAGTTTGTGCTTTATCTTTTGCCTTTGTTTATGAGATGTGTGTTTGTTTGTTCTTTGTGCTTTTTAAATGTAGGTAAGTTTATTTACTCTTTGCTTCTGGCATTTACATTGTTAGACAGATTTCCCCATTCCAACATTAAAAATGAATTTACCCATGTTTTCCTCTAGTAGTTTTAGAGTTTCATTTTTTAAAAAATGTGAATCGTCAACCCATCAACCCAGAGCTTAAGACACACATCATTAGAAGTAACATCTTTTTCCTACTGGGAGCTTGGGCCTAGATTTTGGACAGGATGACGAGGCTACCAGAAGATCAGTAAGTGTAATAAGACCTGAAGAATGGGACAAAGAAGCAGTTGATGGGAAGAGAAGTGAGACGGCACTGGGGTGAGGTGGGGTGGGGAGTAAACCGAGGCACCCTCTCCTGCAGGAGTTCCTGGCAGATGGCTTCCTATTGTTGGTCTAGCTCAGGGGTACCCAGGGCCCTTACTACTTTTTTCCAAAGTATCCACTTACTTTCAAGGATTTAATGTTTTTGCTTGTACCGAACTAACTGTTCTTAGGTAATGACTACTTACTCTGCCCTTTTAACAACCAGTTTCTGGGCAGAATGTGCTAACCAGAATTACCACGCTGAGCTGATATGCTTTCAGCCCAAAGCACAGAACTTTGAAGTGTCAGTAAGCTTGAGGAGGCTCATCTTGGATAAATGAGCCTTTGGGAAGACTTTCTGAAATGCTGACATTAGTCTGCCTACAACATATTTCTTTGTTCCTAGATTTCTAAGACATGGACTGTCAGTGGGGGGACCTCTGATCTCATCCCCATTCAAACCTACTGGTGCTGTAGAAAAGGGTAGGGGAAGGTGTGACTTCAACCATAAGAGGTGTGCACACCGACCTCCATGATGTATACTAAATAGTTCTCTTAGCAACTTTTCTACTAGAGGTGCCCTTGAAGGTGCTTTAAAAAAATATATTATTTATTTATTTATTTATTTATTTATTTATTTATTTATTTAAGGGGGGGGCATTAGTGGGGGGGAGGGGTAGAGAGAGAAGCAGGCTCCCTGATGAGCAGGGAGCCAGAGGTGGGGCTCTATCACAGGACCCAGAGATCTCCACTCCAGCCAAGGCAGACATTTAACCAACAGAGCCACCCAGGCACCCAAAAAGCGTTTTTTAAAACACTGTTTCCTCGTGTGAATTATTCTCTATTCTGAGAAAAATGGAGAAAATTTTGCAAAGATGAGTGAGAATATTGCTAGAATAAAGTAAAAACGTTTCAGCAATAAAATGGGCTCCTCTGCTTTAAGCAGAGGCCTCAAAAGAGACCTGGTGGGAGTAAGATGCTTCATGCTGCTCACTGTCAGCAAGAAGGCATGCCAACGTCCAGGCATGCCAGACCGCACCTCTAACAGTGAATTCAGTCTCTGGTGGTGGGATATACATACAGTCCTGTTAGAGCCCCCATGTGATTTCAATGTGCAACTACTGCTCTTGAACCATGCTATTCAGATTGTGGTCCTCAAACCAGCAGCACCGGTATGTGGGATCTCCAGCCTGAAATTAGACCTTCTGAGTCAGAATCTGCATTTGAACAAGACCATCAAGATATTCGTATACATATTAGAGAAGCAGTGATCTACAGCAATTTCTCAAAGTGGCACCTGGATCGCTTGTATCAAGCTCACCAAGGGGGTGGGAAGGTGGGGGAATGGGGATCAGGCGACTTCTTAAGGAAGACAATTCTGGAGATGATCACTTTGTAAGTGTGACAGTGGGACCACGGAATCTGCATTTCAATGTGCTTCCAGGTGACCCCCTAGCCTACTGCTTGAGAACTACTCCCAATGGGGAAGCCGGCAATATGACAGCTACTTTATCCTCATCTGCATGGAAATTCCCTCAATGATGCTATAAGGTGAAAGCATATCCATTAGAAATGGGGGGTGAGTTGGTGATAATCTATGAACCCTTCTCGGCCTGACAAATGTGATGTTTCTGCTCTCTGATCTATAACAGAGCAGGTGGTGATAGTTAAATCCAGCTTTCAGACTGACACAGAAATGGGTCTCTCTGTTCTCTTGGGTTAGTGACTGAACAGACTGCAATACACAGGCTTCTACCTTAAAAGCAGGATTAAAAATATAAGATGTTGATGCTCAGATGCATCCTTCCTGAAGGGTTTCAAAAAACCCTCAAAATGCATGGTAGAGAGCCAAGCGAAAGAATAAATTCCCTGAAAGGAGATTTCTTCATTTTACAAAAGTCTTTTTTTTTCTTTTAAGATTTTATTTATTTATTTGACACAGAGTGAGAGAGTGCAAGCAGGGGGAGACTGAGACGGGAGAAGCAGGCTCAACTGGGGCTCAATCCCAGAACTCTGGGTTCATGACCTGAGCCTAAGGCAGACGTTTAAACTAACTGAGCCACTCAGGTGCCCCTACAGAGGTCTTTTGAAAATTCTTTGCTTGGTCCCTGATTTTTAAATGATGACACAAGTAAAAAAAAAAAAAAAAAAATGAAGCCAGGAATAGACAATTTGATCTCTCTGAAAAGATGTATTTGCAGTATGCCGCATTTCCATGATGTAGTTGTAAAAGCATTTCAGCTCATATAAGATATTTAAAAGCTTCTATGATACAGAAGCTTTAAGTGAGTTTATCTTCAGAATACCTAGGATTCCGAAGTACAGCTCACAGTTGACTTGGGGGTGACAGAATTGAAATCTTTGTCATGATAAAATGAAATAAGACCATTGTGGTTGAAATGGGTAATGAATGGAATGGGGACCTGCAAGGTGATCTAAATGCAATTGTTAGATAATTATGGAGTTAAAAATCTGCAAAAGCAAACTTTGAACTGTAAAAAAAAAAAAGATTTTTGAGGCTTTACTCTAAAGACTTGGAGCAGAGTTTCTTAAACCTGTTTTGGGGGAGTGCAATTCTAAAGAAAATCTAATGAAAAGCTAGGGATTCTCCCTCGCTCCACGCCCCCTGAGTGCACACCTGGGGTAATCTCTGGGGTTCCATAGACCCGCTGGAGCCCGTAGGAGAACGTGGGCTTCCTCAGTGGATTTCAAGAAAATTTCTCTATTTTGATCTCTTCCATCTGGAAACCGCTTTAAGACCCAAGAGCAACTTTACCAGCAGCACCAAGATTCCAGGTGACTGGTAAGATTTGGGCTGTTTTCGCTTCACCCAACCTCACGAGGATGGTCGGAGGCCAGGTGCGAGGCCAGACCCCTGGACAAGCCAGGGGAAGACTCCTTCTGTTGCAGAGCTCTGGGCTCTCCGAAATGCGCTCTCTCCGCGGGGCCCGGAGCCGCGAGGCTCCTTCACGCCAGGCTGTGAGCGCTCTCATCCGAAGTGAGGGGGGCAAGTAGACTGCCAAGGACGCCGCCGACGCGGGCTCACCTGCATTCACCTGCAGACCCAAAGATGCCCGAGGGGGAAGACAGCCCTTCACCCCTCCCCCGTCGCACGGACCTCTGCGGGCTCAGGTGCCTGCCCGGGTGCCAGCCCGGGTGCCAGCCCGGGTGCCAGCCGCCGCCGGGCCTCCCTCCCGGCAGCTCGCCGTCCGGCCGGGCGAGCGCGGGCCGTCGGGGCCTCTCTCCCCGCCCTGCCCGCCGCCCACCCCGGCGGAGGCGCCACGGGGAGCCGAGCCCCCGCCTACCGGCACCATGGAGTAGGTCATCATCATCAGCATGTCGTGGCTCTCCGCGCGGAGGTGCGGCGCGGGCTCCCCGCCGTGGCTGCGCTTGTTGCGCGCGGCGCCGGCGGGGTCCGGGGGCGGCGGGGGCGGCGGGGGCGGCGGGGGCGGCGCGCGGCTCAGCTCGGCCAGGAAGGAGCGCAGGGCGCTGTCCTCGCGCTGCTCGCGGCCCCGCTGGGCCTCCAGCGCCCGCACCGCCGCGCTCAGCCCGCGCCACTGGCACAGCGCGAACACCGTGCCCGCGGCATTGAGCGCCGCCAGCAGCGCCACGGCCGCCAGCGCGCCCCGCAGCCCGCAGCCGGCGCCCCCGCGGCCTCGCTCCGCGCCCCCGGCCATGCTCTGCGCGCCTCGGCCCGGGCACGGCTCGCCGCCCGCCGCCCGGCGGCCTTTATACTCGCGGGCAGGCCGTGGGCTGGTGGCAGCGCCGTGAGTCACGCTGCCCTCTGCCCCGGCTGGCGGGACGCGTTGGGGACAGCGGTGGCGGCGCCCGAGCAGCCCGGAGGGACAGGCGGTGGGGGTGGCGGGGTGGCGGGAAGGGGAGCGAGAGCGGAGGGCGGGGGCCAGAGGGGTGGGCCGTGCTTGGCTCCTGGTGCCGGGCCAAGACACCCGCAAACCCAGGTCCCCTCCTTTTCTCCCTGCCCTGCGCGTGGGCACTGCTGTGGCCCAGGCGGGCAGAGGGAGCGGCCGACTGAGGCGGAGAGCGGGAATTCTCAAGGCTGAGAAGTCCCTGGATTCCACGCCGTTCTCCCCCACACTGACCTCTCCGGAGGAAAGGATCAGCAGGCCCAGATGCCAAGACATATGCCCGCTGCCCCAAGGTTTGCTGCTGGGTGGGGGCCCAGGCTGCCCATCCCGTGGCCACTGAAAACCCCATGAGATATTTCCGGGGAGGGGGATGGATAGAGACAGGGAGGCGGTTGGCATTGGAGGGTTAAAAAGGCCACCCATAGAACCAGAATAGCTTTGTCCTGCAGGAGTCCTTTTTGAAGGGAGATTTCCTAAAACGTGACAGGCCAAGAACTCTCCCATGAGACCCATACCTAGGAGGCATCGGGGTGAGGCGGGGGAGAAAACTCAAGGGTAGAAATCAAGAGCCCTGATTCTAACCCCGTTCTGCTACCAGTTGAAGGGCTTTGAGCATGTCCCAAGACCACTCTGAACTGACTCTGAGGTGCTTTCTGGCTGAAGAGTTAGGACTCTGGCCAGGCCCTTTCTGGATCTTACCTAGCCTTCCTTGCTTGAGGGGGCAGTTGACTCATGCCTCCTACTTACTCCTTCACAACACCCTCTCTTTTCTGTCAGCTCAGGTGCCTGTACCTCAAGGATCACTATCCCCCAAAGGCGGAGTCAATTTTCAGCCTCCTCACAGGACCTCTCCACTCAGTTCTTCATCTCTCCCCAGAATGGCTCTGCCTCCCTGGGGCCCCAAGGCCCCTAGGAGACCCTCATGGTGTTGGAAGACCCTAATCAGGAGCCAAGATCACGGTTTCCACCGCCCATTATTTCAGAGGAGGAGGTGGCCCCCTGCCATCAAGCCAGCTGGAGCTGTCATGGTTCTGGGTCAAGGTCTGGACTCCTGAGTTTTAATTGGGACATTGACCAACTTGCATATTCTTAGGAGAGCATTCAGAATGAGGAGGAATTAGGAAAGCATGCAGTTTCAAGTGGTTCCTGAAGAACCTCAACTATGGGGACAGGATGTCTAGGAGGAAATGGAAGCGATACGGACAGATTTGTCAAGTTTCTCCCAATTCTAACGTATTGTGATCTATTTGAAGAATGCCATGTTTCCTTATGTCATCCAGGCTTAGGATGCCAGGCTTAAACTAATGGAGAGAAGTCACAGAGAGACAGAGCTAGGAGTCAGGCTCAGTAAGATCTTCATTTAATTCACTGAAAATTTACTGAGCACCTGCTGTGTGTCAGGCATAGTGATGGACATGTGAGGTACAGAAATGAACAAGGCAAGCAGCTTGCAGTGTGAGCAATTGGAGTCCCACGGAGCTTCCTAAGCTTCTCTTTATCCTGGCATTCATTATAATTACTATTTCCTGATCATGTCATCAGTGCCCACCAGCAATAACAGAGTATTAAGCTCCTGAGGTTAGGAGCTATATACAAGCATATTGTTTGACCTAATCTCCCTCAATACCTAGCACAAGTCCCTGACTTGAAATGACCATTCAGTAATTTACCTCTTGAACGAGTGAACAAACAAATGAATGAATAAAAGACTGTACAGTAAATATATGTCTATGTAACATGATGTGTACCTAGCGGTAGTAAGGCTTAAGCATGAAACTCTGCTTGTGCTACCAAACTGGAACTACCTTCCTTGGAAGGCTGCCTGTCCAGGGGTTGGGAGAGTAACTAACTGTAGCCTGACACACTTGCCCCCACCCCTCTGGTTCAGACTCCACAGTCAGTAGAAGGAGTGGAGTTCCAGTTCCATTTGGAGTCAGCCAAGCTTTATCTGACAACCTCAGGCAAAGATGCTACCCTTCCTGGGATGTAGGACTTAAAAGGTTTGTAGCATTGACTTTGGGCTGGATAGGTGGAATGCCTGGGATGCTGCACTCAGAGCAGAGAGGCAGAAAGAGATCAAAGGAAAGGCAAGATTCCTCTTCCACTCAACACTTCTTCTAGTTCCCTCTCCAAGTCTTTCTGTGTAGGAATATAATATTTTATTGAAAAGGAGAAGGGGGGGCAAGTTGTTACGGCATACAAGGCCGGTGTCCTCACTCCTCTCCCCAACATGGCCGTATCCAAGCAACCGGCCTTGCTCTGTTCTCTTTCCCCTTTCTTCGATGTCTTCTCCCTACAGCCTTGCTCCACCACAGCTCCATGCATTGACTCTCCTCCTTCTCTGTCCTATCTCAGAGTTGTGCCTGTTTCTGGCCTATCTCAGAACCCTGTCCTTCATCAAGCCTTGCCTTCCATACCACACTCAATTCTCCCTCTCCCTGAAGTCTGCAAGCCCTGGCAGACTCAGAGGCTATAGGCATGAGCTTTGGAAGCAGATAGAACTAAGCTTGAAACTGCTTTCTAAACTTGCAGCCTTAGGTGTGTTACTCAGCTTTTTCTAAGGAGAGTGTAATCATGTCTATCTCATAGATGTGAGGATTTAATGAGAAACTACATGTAGAGTACTACCTGGTATATAGTAAATGCTCAGTGGTCATTAGTGCTATTGGCTATGGGCTGTCTGAACTTGCCAATACCCATGTTGTGCCTTATGCGGCTGACCAACAACTTAGCTCTTCCAGATGTTACTTCTTGTGTTGGGGTATAGTATGCTTAGGAAAGGGACCACTCTCCATTGTGACACAGCAGGGGCTTATACCAAGTAGGAATATTAGATTAATAAATTGATTAGCTAATTACACTTTTTTAAATGCTTTTTGAGGAAAAAAGTGTTCAATGGATGGTAAACTTGGCCTCTTTTCTGTATACAGTGGCTTTGAGATTGGTTATTTGGGGCCCTTCCATCTCTGGCTTCCTAATCCTCCCATGACTCCTTGAGGGGCAGATACATCTGTGTAGACTGCTCTACCTGGTGTTTCTCAGGATGGGCTGGTACTTTTAGTAATAAGTAATTCTAAAAAAAAGTTAGCTATTAATCTGGACTATTTTGTTGACATAGGGGTTCAAGATATAGTGAGGACACAGGGAGATATCTGACTTTCCTTTTCTGGATAACAAGGAAGCCAAGAACATTGCGTGCTATCTTTACAATGAGAAGTAGCTTTTCCATTAAAAGACAGATGCTTCATTTTCAAAGGTTAAATGGAATGGTTCCGAAAAAATGATTCCAGCTAGTAAACTTTAGGGTCCTGGAGAAAAACATCCAATTCAAGAATATACTCCAACTTTAATTTCACAGCATTTCCTCCTGACTGTGAAGTGAATAATTTTCATTTACTCTCAGGCCTGATCTTGGGTATTGTCATTTTCTGTAATGAGGTTGGCAGGTATGCTTGTTCTGATGGTGCTGTCCTCCCTCCCCATCCCCATCCTTTCTCCTTGCCAGGGGTTAGGGAGAAAATCTCTGTAATAGTTGCCACCAAATATATCTTCCACCCAACCACGCTGGGTTTTTAACTCAACATTTCTACGTTTTAACCTCATGAAACTTCAAGCTCCCCAAACAAAAAAAAGTCAGAGATTTCTTTTCTTTGTTCATACACTCATTCATTTATCTATTTATTCAACAAATTGGGTGTTTACTATCTGTCAGGAACTGCGCTAGGAGAAAGGAATAGGATGGAGAGCAAAACCAGACACCATTCCTGCCTTCCTGAAGCCCATGGTCTAAGTGGAGAGATGGAATTAGCCCAGTAATTGTGTGAGAGTATAATTCTAAATGAGACAGTGAGATAGATGATCTGAAGGAAAGGAGTGCTATTCTGTGAGATCATATCACTGAGGAATCTATCCTAGATGTGGGGTATGGGGTCAGGGAAGGTCTCCCTGAAGAAGAGTGGTGTTTGAGCTGGAATCTGAAGACCAGCAGTAGTTAACTAAGTGGAGGGGTGGGTGGGAGAGTTGTAGTCAGAGAGGACAGCACGTGTGGGATCTTATGGCAGGAGGCACCATGGATTATTTGAGGAACCATAAGAAGGCCAATGTGGTTATAGCATAAAGACCATAGGGAGCAAGGAGAAAAAGGGAATGAAATGAACCTGCAGACTGAGTTAGGGGCCAGACTCTGTGGGTGGGACTTTGTAGGACTCAGGTCTTTATTGTAAGAGCAATGGGAAGTTAGTTAAGGGTTTTAAGTGTGTGTGTTGAGGTGGGAGATTGGGTTGATGAATGACAGATTTTCATTTTCAAAGATCACCTTTTATTGCTAGGATTTGCAGTGGCTTCTGTCACTACAGAAACTATCTCTGATCTCTACTTGGCTAAATCTCAGCTTTCAAATCCATCTTTCTAAATGAAATAAGAATACACTGAGTTCTAGAAAATGGTATTTTCTCTTTCATTGCACATTTAAAGGTAGTTGAAAAATAGAACCATGACTAACATTTAGATGATTTGGCTAATCTTGATACTAGCTGGAGTTTTTGTCTGACAACCAGCACATATTTGCATTTTTTGATACTTCAAGGTGAGATCATCAAATCAAGTCATCTCTAGCATTGGGAATAAGATAGATGTTGCTTCCCTTCTGAGATTTTGGTCTAAGTAAGTTAGGCAAGTAACAACAGCTTTCCACCTATCATAAGTGTAGATCTGAGAGTCACTCAATCATTGTTAGACATGGAGTTGTCCAAAGTTGTAGAGTAGGGCTATTTCAAATTCTCCCTCTACCTTTTCTGTACTTTATTTGCTTTGCTTGCGATAAAGATGCCCCTCCCCACCCCATCCATCCTGCCTTCCCCAGTGCATCTTAGCCAATTATCACAGATTGAGTTCTCTGGAACAGATGCTGAGATGGAATTTGGGGTGCAAGATGTTTTTTAGGGATCAG